CAAAAATAAAAAAAAAAAAACAGTGAAGTCCATGAGTACCTATTTGAGAAAGAAAACATAGCAGTCAAACAAAAACCCGAAAAAGAAAAGGAAGTAAAAAGGCCCAACCAACAGGTCTTCTTTTCATTTTTAAGACATGTTAAGCTATTATTTATTATCTTTCTCAATCAGTGACTAAGTAGCTAATAGCTTTACTAAAGATGTATAATCTTGTCTGTGGCTGATCCTATTGGTTATCAACTCAGCTTATCTGTCAGCTCATTTGTGGTATCTCATGAAGAACAAATGGTAATTCAATGCTTTTTTTCCTGGTAGGAAATGGTAAATCTAATGCTTTAAAAGCTTCATCTCTTTTGCGGAAATCATTGGACTTCAATGATGCCTGACAAGACTGCTGGTATTTACTTGCAAAGCCTACTAACATAAGTTCGAAATTAGTAGGATCAAATTTTATCTGCATTCAATTTGTACAAGATTGCTGCATTTATGTATACTTTTTCTCAATGGGAAAATTTCATTTTGGATTCCCCGGAACTGTTTTGACAAAAATAAGATTTAAACAGATATTTCACTTTTTCTTCACTGGATCTAATATTAGTTACAGAAGGATTTAGCAAAGCTGACTTAACCATCTAGAAAATGCTAAGAATCTCCTCGATTACATGCCTCAGCTTCTTTCATAATATACAATCTAAACGGAGCCTCTATCCTATGCTGCTTCAACCTCTGACACCTGTAGACCTGCACGTATACTACATCAACTATTAAACAGCTTAAACAATCTTAGTTTCTCAAGGGTTTCAAGTATTATCCTCTTCCTAAACCTTAATATCCCAAGGGGCTACTACTACTGCTGCTCTTCAGCATCTTTTGCCTAAATATTCAATGATTTTCGGTGATCTTAGATATTCAAGATCATGTTTCTTAATTATATAACTGTCAAATGGCATGCGACTTCATAGCCTCACAGATCAACAAAGATTTTTGGTTTATGTTGTCTTATTCTGATGTTTAGTTCTTTTATCCAAGTAAAATTTTAACCAGTTACAGCATAGCTCCTCGAATACTGGAACATAAGATATTGTAGGCCATAATTGGGTAATCTCAGATAAATACATATAGCACATCCACATTATCTTAATGTACAGGGAAGAAACATTTTTTATTTGGATAATGATGGTATCTGTGCCAGCTTGCACAACCTCGACTATTCAACCTGTTTCCTGCTATCCTACCGACACATCTCCCACCAAGACTTTGGCAGATGGAAAGCAATCACCTAGGTCTTTAGTCTCTGCTAGGATTTTAACCTTGGTCTCAATTTTCATGGCACACCCTTGGGTACAACGTCTAAGGAAGAAACTTCCAATAACCAAAATACTTTCTTAGGATCATTCCTGGGGTTAAAAAGTTGCGGATCATTTTTCTTGAATATATAAGCGGCCAAATGGTATGTGATGTAATAGCCTCAATGATCATCAACAATAGTTACGCCCTAGTCCAAAACAAGTTAGGGTCGACTATATAAATCCTCGCTGACCATGTTACTCCATTTAAACTCATCTCATGCCAATATTATGCAAGTACAAATAAAAGGCCAACATTATGCAAATACTGACCAACAGAAACTTTAATTTAGGTTCTGATGTTAAGTTGGATAAAGCATCTTTGTCATACTTTATTTCATATCTCTAAGTTGCAATCTACACAATTACTGACAAAGCTTACTTCTTCTTACTTCCTTTCTATCATTTAGCTCATGTGTAACAGCCAGAATATTGTTAAGAATTTCACAATGTATCTTAATGATAAAATAATTAGCAGCCATTGTGATATGTTAACCACTAATGTAGAACTTAAAGTCCAGCAATAAAACAAATGGCATTCTACATTTCTCTTTTCTAATAAGGGGAAAAAAATGCAGAATTACATTTCTTCTAAATACCCAATTAACATTTTTACTAGTTACACTATAGCTCCTTGAGGACAGGTTAATAAGATATTGTAGGCCATGATAAGACTTCCAGGAATCTATATGAGCAGGGACTTCTCACGGAAAATTCTAACTTGGAAAATGCCTGAGTCGATGATTAACAAGCAAGAATGGTGAACTTACAATTCCAGATCCCGCACAGTTTAGCAATATTCAATCAAAGTAAGTCCATCCCGCACAGTTTAGCATAGGTCAACTGTATCTGGACAAGTACATAGCGATAATGAGAGAAAGACGCTACATTTAGAGACCAATGCCCTGGACAAAGTAAGAAGCCCTTAGAACAAAATTTATTTGCTCAATTCTATGAGATATATAACTAGAGAAAGAGGAAAAGAGAGAAACTTTTCGTCTGACCTCTTCTTTTTCCAGGTAGGTAAGCGTTTTTCCTTGACCAGCAACAACGTCACCAGTTTTCCAGCAAGAATGGCTGATTCCATCTCCATTACCCTGTGCAAAAGAAAACATCTCCATTTTCCAACTGCAATTCCATTGTCAGAACGAGTTATTTTTTCATTTCTCTTTCTGTCCCCCTCAGCCTCCCCCTAACGCTATTTTTTTTTCCTTCTATCCAGCTCAGGATAAGATTTGAGCTTGTTATTTAAACCAGTTCAGCGTTAAGATACACTGACTACATGCATCACACTGAACAGAGGAACAACGAGGCATTGTTAAAAATAAATATACTGAAGCCACAAGATAATGTAACACTGACGGTACAGTTGGGTATCATTACAATGTAACTGCTAATTAAGACTATCACACTTTTGGTCATTGCTCAAATCCAGAGCACCAAAAACAATCAGCCAAGAATGCTAAGAAATTCAGTCTACTAAACCTTACAAGAAAAACAAAAAGTTTCCAAATTTGATTTTTGGTGCAAGAAAATAAATTCATCCCAACCTCGAGGCAAGCCATAAATGAGGAATCTGGAAAATCTAAGTAACACCTCAGAGTGACTTGGTCAGCGACTATGTTTTAACACCATTCTCTCATTTAGTAGTGAGGTGGACTTCCATAACTGAAGTATCCAGAAAGGCTATTACTTAATAGTCAGACCTTATAATAAACAAATCAATAATATAATTAGTGATAATAATTCTAACCACAAAATCATCAATTAGTTCAAGTTGGATGCATTAGGGTACTAGTATGTAGCCTCTTCGGACGTATTTGATTATTTTATATACTACACACTGACGATGTGTTTCCCACATGCAAAACTATTTTTATTTAATTACTAGAACGAACAGCATTCTTAACAAATGAAGTATTTGTAAGTCGGTGTTTCCAATCAAGAAAGAGAACACCAATAAGTTTGTTATCTAAAGTCAAGCAGTAACTTAGGTGAATAAGAGCGATGTCCCAGCTCTCAACACAACATTGAGCATCATGAGTTACGAGAAATAAGCTGCACAAATGGAGTTACTCATCTAAAACAATAACAATGTATAGGAAAAAGAAAAAATTGGACCACAAACGATACGAGTTTTGATTTAAAAGTAAGACTGTCAGCTGATTAAACTACTGCTGAAAAGGTTCTGTTTTACATGTAGTTAATACACATGAACTCTTGCATCATTCAAATTCATCTTTCTGCTGAAGTACTAGGCTACAGTTATTCCTCCAAAACTGTTAAAAATTTACTCATTGACTATAAATTACAAGAGAATGCAGAAAATAAGAGAACTGTGCTAATTATACAACAGGGCAACCAACAAGGGATTCTTTTCTTCAAGTCCCTCTCAGTGGTTGCAAATAAATGGGGTTTTTTCTGGCCAAAGTTAAGCCCTGTAGCAGGTGAGATAAATAGTCCTCAGCTATGGTCCCTATCATCTTCAAAGAGACAAGTTAAACTTCAACAGTTATCGACTGGTTCAAAGGGCCGGCCACAAGAGAACTAGCACAGAGGTTGCACAAAGAAAGACCCTAGCAAGGCTGGTGCCCTCTGATCCAGTAGGGACCAATACGAGCTCAATTGGAAGACAACAAAATCCATATATGCCTTTATTCCTCAGATACGCGAGCACATACTTTCTCCAGCAGCAATGGCCAATCTTTGCCAAGTTGCTGCCGGTTTAGCTCCATGGCAACCCTAAAATCTTGCAATGATACCAGGCTGTCGGGTGCCTGTTCTTGCATGAATTCTGAAGATTTATCGCTACTCACCTGAATATGATGGCCTGGTCTGAGACCATTAACAGGCTTTGTATAAGTTTGTTGCTTTTTTTGGCTGATCTTAGTAGGCTGCTCATGCCCAGACCTTGCTCCCAAAAGTTGAACACAAGATCCGATTAAACCTTTTAAGTAAGAATCTAAACCATTGTTCACCAAATTGGCACAATTGACTGCCACCCCTTCAATTCCCTGTTCTGCGGCAATCTGCTCCATGCGTTCCCTCAATGTTAAGGTGTCCAACAAAGCACCAAAATTAGAAGAGCGAAAACATTTCCTACTGGTTGCCAAAGGCAATTTTCTATGTGATCCACCTACGCTAACAGGGTAAAATGGAACTCCAAGTGGCGCTTGTAGTTCACTCCTAGCATGCATCTCTTTCCCATCACCACTAACCTGGTCTTTGTTATGTACAGAAACTGGACCTTCAAGTGGTCTCTTTGTTAAAGAAAGTTTGGAAGTTTCTAGATTCGCTGCCTCCCTTTCGTCCTCTGATCGCTGGATGAGTCCTGAATTGTGCTGTACAGACCTCAGGCCATCAGGGGGATTCAAGTCACCATTTTCCTTAGTAACATCAAAATCACTCGATTCTTCCGCTATTGATTGTTGAAAAGTAAAACTAGCTTTCTCATTTGGTCCAAGTGCACTACAGCCATCCCCAGCCCTACGATCACGAAAGCCTGTTCTGGCCTTTCGAGGAGATAATGCCAAAATGTCCCCATTTGACAAACCTGGTTGACTTGAAGACTGTCTTACCGAAACACGTGATCCATTTTGCTCATAAACATCATTTGAAGCCTCATTATTGCCAAGCGCTGCACCAGGCTTCAAAAACTCATCCTCATGGCTTGATGGTGGAACTTTTGCACTACAAGCATTTTTCAAAATAGAACGGATAAACTGATTTTGCAGTGGAATGTTCTCTCTTCCGAAGATCCTAAGACAAATCTTACTGAACTCAACCTTGCTTATCTTCAAGCTCAGCAACCTATTTAAGTAATAAAAGTACTGTTTCGACCTATCTGGTCCGAGTTTCCTCACTATCTGAGCTTTCAGTTCAGCAAGATTAATCCGTGAATGCTGATGTGGCGGTTGCATCTCTGTCAGCACATAAATTCCATACACAAAAAGCAAAAGTTATAAAGTTTCCCCTGCTCAAAAACAAACTTTAGGGTCAGAAACCAATTCCACCACTAAATTAGGGTTTTCTCCCCAAACTCCAAAAAACCAACTTGGAAACTACATTGAGTCCCTCTAATATCAATCTTTGCATTTTCCAAATCAAATCCCATCTTTCCAAAATCCCAATTTGTAACGGTATAAGATTTAAAGGGGCTGAGGTCAGCACCAGAAATCCAAATTCTGAACTAACTCTCCCTCCAAAAACCCAATCTTGAAAAACTTCAAATCCCAAGTCCTACTAAAACTCCAACCTTAAAATCTCATCAAGCCCTCCATTTCCAGCTAAGATACCTCCCTGTAACTCCAACTTTATTCCCAATTCAATAACTTCAAACTGCCAAGATTACCTAAAACATACCCAAAATGCCAACTTTTTCCAAAATTTGAAAGCTTGAAGCTTCAAACTTCAAGTTCAAATTCATTTCTACATGAATAAAGATTAAACTTCAAGAATTCATACAGACAAAAGGGAACACTCTTGACCTTATTGGAGCTTCAGTTAACTAATACACAATTCAGATTCATAAATAATTAAAAAAAACAATTTTTTTCAACTCTTACTTGTTTCTTGAACACCCATGTATAAGCTTCCTCTTCCATCTCTTTGCATTTCAATTCTCCTCTGTTTAATTATCTTCTTCTCCAAAAATCACATCTTTTGAATCAAGAATTGAAAATACCCACTTCCCACTTTCTCTCTCTGACACTACTCTCTCTCTCTCCCTCTTCTTGATTTCTCCTGAATCCGGCTCTTCTTTGTTCTTGTGTTTTTCGTACTTAACATTTTAGAACTTCATATTATCACGCTCTCTCTTTCTCGTGTTATAGCACGCGATTATTTATTGGGTATTAATGGGAATGTGGAGGTTACAGGACTTAACTGCGCGTGGGTGAAGTAAGTTTAAGAGGATATATTTGCTCAAGTTTGTATGAAAAAAGAAGGAAAGATTCTAAAGAGAAATACTATAAACTGCTTATAGAATTTAGTGAGCACTGAATTGCAGCAGTCAGCAGTCTTTACAAGGTCTTTTACTAATTTGTAGGAGTACTAAAATAGGAATGAAATGTTTTCTGTTTTGAAGATGAAGAAGAAAATAATTTAGTCTGACCCAAGAAAAACACACCACACTTTGTACATCTGCTGAATTTTTGAGGACTTGTGTTCATTTAAAACTTTACCATTTTGTTTGAACTAATGCTAACTTCAATTATTCTATGCTTAGGTTAATAGGAAGAAATCATTTAATAGGTTTTTTTTTTTTTTTGTCTATGTTGGAATTTAATGACAAGACTTGATAGTTTACTTCCACTTATTAATCACTAGATTATATCCTTGAGTGCAAAAAATAATTATGACCGACGATTAAAAAGTTGAAGTAGAATCTAATCCGATTATATAAATCACATAAAGGAAAGGGCATTAACCGAGACCCTAGACCTTAAACCGGGGCAAGTGCACAAATATATGCTTCGAAGATCAATGTTCAAAGAAAAGCCGAAGATTATAAAGTGTTTAATGTTTAGCCGCTTTAGATTCAGCTTCAGACACGTAGAACTGAAGCTGAAATAATGAATTTAATAATTTCGATTGGGAGTCAGAATTGCCGAAGCCTAACTTCATACCTATGAATGACAATGAGGTCTGAGTTTTAGGCTTTAACATTCATGATCTTTTTATCTTTATTTGTTCAAACTTTCGACATTCGAATCCGAATTTAGGCTTGTCAGTTCAAATATTATACCCATGGTCTGGAATTTAAACTATTTTACAACTTACAGTGCAAATGGAATGTGTGTATCCATTTCACTCCGTTCATCCTTTTAAGTTTTTTGTAATATAATAAAATTCATTAAAATATGGCAAGGTGAAAAAACAAATCCACAAAAATCACTAGCGCTTCTTTTTTACACTATGTTTGGATTATTGATCCCCATTGTTTTATAATGTATTGTATTGTATTGTACTGTATTGTATCGTTTTGATGGATACAACGTTTGGATAGACTGTATCATTTGCTGTTGTTAAATAACATCTTTATTGTTTGGTTTGACTGTACTGTACTGTACTGTACTGCTAAGTTTACTAAAATACCCTCAATTATTTTAAACAAGATATACATATAGAAAAAACAAATATACGAACATACTAAAACAGGTATTCATGTGAATAACATTCTCCATTTTGTTTTCACATCCAAATGAGAAACCATTACTTTTTTTTAGTTCAAGGATGTTGATGCAATATAACTCCTAAAATTATTAAAAGGCAGAAAATATTTGATAGTATAAAATTACAAAGAGCTCTAATATAATCTACACAACAACGTTTCATGGTCCGTGTCTTGAAAGTGACAAGCTGAAGCTCACAGAACTACTTCCAAGGAGTTCAGCAAAAATGCAACCAACAGACCATACATCAATGGAAGTTCCATAGTTGTCACAGTAGAGCAGGAGCTCCGGTGCCCTATACCAGCGCGTAACAACATACTCAGTCATGAACTGGCCCTTGCCATTGCTTGTACGTGCAAGACCAAAGTCACAAATTTTTAAATCACAGTAAGCATTGATAAGTAGGTTCCCAGGCTTCAAGTCACGATGAAGAATGTTTGCAGAATGGAGATACTTCACACCTCGAAGCAACTGGAATAGGAAATACTAACAGGTAAAGTGTTTTTGCAACTTGCTCTTCAACTGTAGCTTGAAGTGTTGGTATAAGATCACCCTCTCTAACTAACATCTCACATAGATCGGTAAAAGCTAAAGGGGTCATTCTTATAATATTACGACAAAGTTCAGTTGAGAATACATGACTCAATAATTCATGTCTAACTTGTTCACGACTTAATAGCAAACAATAATTTTGTTGGAAAGAGACGATACGTCGTTGACTAGTTGCACGGCAGAAAGAAGATGGAGAAAAAGTACTTATTTGTTTGGTGAATATAATATAAATAATAGGGTAAAGGGTAAAATTAAAATATAGAATAATAAGTGTGGGCAATTGGAAAGGAAAATACGGAACAATCCCACCACACCGATTTGGTTGTTTCATAAAATGGGGTTTTTCATTGTTCCGGAATAATGGATTTAACAATACGATACAATCAGTTTTATATTAACAATCAAAACAAACATTGTATATGGGGTAAAAAATACAATACAATACAACCGGAAACAACCATCCAAAACAAATCCTATAAGTACAGTTTATCATTTCAACATACTTTTTTAGAAAAGTTTACAACGTTCTTTCTAGATATATTCTCTGTACAAGGAGACGTCATTCATTAACTCCATATTAAATACTTTAAATACAACTCATAAAATACTTGTTGTATCCTAGACGAGCATTGTATACGTAATTACTCTTATTTTCTAACATCAAGGGTTTCTCTTATTTTCTTTTCCTTCTTTCTCCATCAAATTTTCTAACACCAAATACTCGTAAAACTAAAACTAAAACAAAAAGTTTTAAAAAAGATCTTTTTTCTAAACCATAATTAGTAACTCACGTGGATGACACGAGCTCAACAATTTCTTACAAACTGCAAATATGTTGAAAATCAAAACCCATTAGTGCTCCTCTCTCATTTACCAAATCTTGTAAGGGAAGCACATTTTATAATTGTCGTGTGAGCATTTGGTGTTTTAGGGTTTTTCTATCAAAGGTATTTGTAATTTTCAGATATGAAGCTTACTGTGAAGACTCTGAAAGGCAGTCACTTCGAAATTAGGGTTCAGCCTTCCGATACGGTTAGTTCCTCTCTATCTCTTTTTGCATTGTTTAATTCCGAATTTTGCACCTCTATTGTGTTTTGAGCTTTAAGAAATTTGATAGTCTCGATAGTATTATTGAATGAACAGGAACTTTTTGTTTCCATTTTATATGACAGGAATTTGATTAGACATGGCTTTTATGATTTATTGGACTTATGTATTCTATTAATTATAGTCGAACAAAATATTGAAGTTGTGGTTTGAAAGTTAGTTTGATAGAGAAATTATCACAATATTTATAATTTGATAAAAAGGACAGCTTGGTGTAAGCTCTTGCTACGTGCGAGGTACAAGTAAAGGTTGAACCACATTGGGTTCTATCATATGTAATCTTATGTTACAATTATGCAAGAGGTTGTTTCCACGGTTTGAATCCTAAAAGGCTTGAACTTCCCCGGTCACACCACAACAACTCTTATAGTTACACCAAGGCTCCAAATTTTAATAGATTAATAATTTGTATTCTTGAAAGTTGTGAAGTTTGTGTAGAAATATAATGGTGTCAAACATATTGGGGGGCCTTACAAATTGGAAAAGAGTGTTATATAAATTGGTACGGAGGGAGTAAGATGGAAAGTTTGTTCCAACAGTATTTAGATTTTATTTACTTTACATTAAGGTAAAGAATGGCACTTGAACAACAGCATGTTACATAATGCTAAGATTTTCTACCAGTGTGAGGATTTTTCAGCGAGACTAAATTTTGGGGAGAAAATAAGAAAAGTTGAATTGGGCAGAGTTATTCGTTGAGTAATTTAAGCTGCCTTTGGTCTTTATTTATGATGCCTTTTTTTTTGCATGTCTTAGGAAATGACAAAAAATGTGCTTTGATAGCCTAATATCCATTTAACTGATTTAACTGTTGTTTGAGAAGCAGAGTGTTAGAATAATTGCTGCTTTGAAGGAGGGTCAAGATCAATTCTTTGTACTAAATTCAGTTGTATTAGTACTTTAAAATTTTGCTTCAATTATGATAATGGATAGGCAAATGATTGATGCATGGATTTTTGAGCTCTTTAAAGCTATAACTTGCTGTGCAGGCTTTTGTGAATTCGATACTGTTCCTTATTAAAAAAAAACATTTGCAAATATTTAATTGCATATGAAGTTCCTTACTCTTTAGCTGAAGAGTTCTTGTAACTTTTTAGTGCGTCTAGTGATCCAAACCCTAACAATCTCATGTCTCTAGTCTGACATGATAATATTGCTTTTCTTCATTGAAAAGACATGGTTGCTTTGCTTTCAAATTAAAGACTTCTATAGAAATAGCGGCTACTGTTATGTGATGATTTATAATGCTTTTGTCGGTCATTTAAATTGGACTTCGTGTGAATGTAGATTATCGCAGTCAAGAAAAACATTGAGGATATACAAGGAAAAGATAATTATCCATGTGGGCAGCAGTTACTGATTCACAATGGTAAGGTTTTGAAGGATGAAAGCACGTTATTGGAAAATAATGTTTCTGAAGATGGCTTTCTTGTTGTCATGCTTAGCAAGGTAAAACTGTAAATCTTCGTGCTCCTTATCTGTGAAGTTCTTTACCTATAACGTTGCACTTCCTCAGCACCTAACTCATATATTGTAAAAGTTCTGCCATACCCGTTTATCCTTTGAAAAATCTTTTCTTTTTATGAAGTAAGGATTTTACTAATCAGAGCATCCAGAGGATGCGGGCATAATATCCTGAGTCAGTATAATGTCCAGTCAATTAATTTTCTAACCCTCAAGCCAAAATCCACTATGGAGCTACTGCGATGTTGGAAGAAGAAGGGTTGTGCAATAAATCTCAAAAGATTTGGAATACCATCTTTCAAGCCATTTGGAGGACTGCGTGGATTGAAAGAAATGATAAATTTTTGAAGGCTAAAGGAGGAATTTACATAGCCTTAAACACAGATGTATTTTTTTCTAGCTTTTTGGTGCAATCTAGTTATAGTACAGGATGTTGATGCAATTATAGACACAATAGGGGATTTGCACAATTTATAGTTATGTTTTTGTCGCACCGGCTTAGTGCAAGCATTTATAAACTTTTTGATTACTTATCAAAAAAAAAAAAAAAAAAAAAATTCTAACCTTATGTGTGTAATGTGCTTTCTGCAGAGCAAGACTGCTGGTTCAAGTGGAACATCATCTGCACCGGTACTTCTCTTTTTGTAATCATTTTGGGATACGGTTCTCCAGGTAGTGTCCCTTCATTCATTTTAATATTAATTCTTATTCTTTGAATATTTCCAGCCTTCCGCTCCTACAGTCAACCCAACTCCAGCACCTGAAGTGACTCCACCAGCACCGTAAGTCAACATTCTCAGTGTCAGCATAATTTGACTCTTGTTTACTCAGATTCTGCTCTTCTCATGAACATTCTGTGTAGGGAGCCTAAGGATGTTGCTTCAGCTTCTGATGCCGCAACAGCTAGGTAAGACACTTTACCAGTTTACTAGATTTCCTTTTGCTCACTTCTTTGCATGTTCTTTCTTGATTCCCATACTCGAGATAACTATTACATCTTTTACCTTGCTGCAGTCTTCCAACTGATAATTTTAGTCAAGCTGCATCAAATCTAGTTGCTGGAAATAATCTTGAGCAGACAATACAACAAATAATGGAAATGGGTGGTGGCAACTGGGATAAAGAAACAGTGACACGGGCACTTAGAGCAGCTTATAACAATCCTGAAAGGGCTATTGATTACTTGTATTCAGTATGTACCTGGTCTGCCGCACTTTGCAGGAAAAATCCACTGCGAGTTTGTTTTCTCTTATTCTTTTTGTGTTTTGAGAGGGATTTCTTCCTTTTGTTAATAGGGGATTCCTGAAACAGCAGAAGTTGCTGTACCTGTGGCTAGTAGCGGGGTTAATTCTGCACTAGGGACTACTACTGTGCCTGCTGCCCCTGTTTCTGGAGCACCCAATTCAGCTCCTTTAAATTTGTTTCCGCAGGTCTTCTATAGTTTTTGATTGGTGCTTACGTTTGTTTATCTTTTTTCGTATGTCGTCTAAGCAGAAAAGTTCTACAGGAGAATGTTGCTGGTGCTGGTGGTGCTGCCCTTGGATCCCTTGATTTTCTCAGGAATAACCAACAGGTAGGATTCATCTTTTAGGCATTCAATTTACTTTTGCCTATGGTCCTCAGTTTTGGTGTAGGTTGCTCAACTTGAAGTAATTAGATTAAGCCGTATCTCTATAGAATAGATTACATCGGACATTCCTTTGTGGTTAAATTTCCTGGACATCTACTTTTTTGCCCCTTAAATTTCTCGTTTGTTTTCTTTACAGTTTCAAGCATTACGTTCTATGGTTCAATCTAACCCGCAAATTCTACAGGCAAGTAATTCTCGTCCTTTACTGTAGTTTACCGTTGTCATTGTGTAAATGTGCAAGTTCGTTCTTTCTGTACAGCCTATGCTTCAGGAACTTGGAAAGCAAAATCCTCAACTTTTAAGAATGATACAAGAGCACCATCAAGAGTTTCTTCAACTAATCAATGAACCTGTAGATGGTTCTGATGGGTTAGTGGCTTTCAGCTTACTCCTTACCAAGCTATAGTTAAACACATGGAATTTATATAACTTATCCCCAAAAAAAAGAAGAGGGTAAAAACTTTTGTTAAAAAAGATAAAAGAAGAAAAAAAGAAGGATGCACTTATCTTTTCTTGAAATGGTAAGGGTGCATGTAATTTTGAAAAAAAGCATTCTATCATTTATCTGTTTCAGATCAGGTGGATGTTTAATTTGGTGTTTTATTCTTTGCTGTTTTAATTAATTTATTTGCCTAGAAATAGATTTTGCATTACTTCCAGTATCCAAGCATAGCACAGAATTTAAAGAGAATTTTCTCATTTTCATTTTTCTTACTAGGGAAGAGCTAAGGTGTTTCTGTCTTTAGATTTAATAGTACCAAGACCACATTTGGAATACCATAGGTCTTTTCAATGGGGAAAAAGAAATGAAATCCCTTGGATGCTTTTGGATGACATGCTTTGCCCTTGTTTCTTCTAGGGACCTATTTGATCAGCCTGAGCAGGACATGCCCCACACAGTTAGTGTCACTCCACAAGAGCAGGAGGCGATCGAGCGAGTAAGAGTCATCTCTCTTCACGCCTCAACTAGCTCTTGCGTTCTGTTTCATTCATGAATGGATGTTATGATGTACATTAATTAATTGGTCATTGATTTGCAGCTCGAGGCAATGGGTTTTGATCGAGCTCTTGTTATCGAGGCCTTTTTAGCTTGTGATCGCAATGAGGAACTAGCTGCAAATTATTTATTAGAGCATGCTGGAGATTACGAAGATTGAGTGCCATAATCTTCTTAGCAATATTCTTTTGCACACCACTAACAGGTCTTGAGTTGATTTTAATTACTCATGAGGGTTTGTAAAGGAGGTTTTACTTTAACTGTGCGTCCAAAATTCTTTTCCGAGTGGGGAAGGTTCATTTGGTAGCTTTGCTTTGCAGTTACTCCAAGTGAAAGAAAATGATCACTAGTGGAAATTTGTTCCGAGACTGTAAAGAATTGCTGGTTGAGGTGGGAAATGCAACTTCTGGGTTCTCCCATTATTTAATGCCTTTGACTTCTAGTTGGTCCAGTTGCTATCTTTGGGAATTTGTTTTAAGACAGTAAAGATCTGCTGGTTTTGACTTATTCCCATTGCGATTTAAGGCCTTTTGATTTTAGTTAGTCCAGTTGCTAAGGATGGGGTAATGGCGGGTTAAGTGGAGATTTACAGCTACCAATCAACAGATGCTTCTCTTTTCCTGCGTTTGACTTCTGATTTTGCTCCAAGCGCATGGCCAACAAAAGGTTCGCGATTCTCGATTGGATGGGAATTGGTAGAGGTGTACACAAGCTCAGGACTAGAATTACTACAGAACTTGATGAAAGCCCTTAACATATTGGAAGCTTTTAGTGTAGCTGCAAAGGTTGTTCAAAAATTGCTTTATACTTTAGGTTCAAATTCTAGGTGTGCCATCTTTTTTTTTTTTCGAGCATGGCCTTTGCTTTTGTCAACATAATTGAAGCTCTCTCCAGGACTAATGAAGAAGCCAGCACAAGGTTAGCATCATTGTCTCTAATGATAAAACCACATCACAATTCAAACTTGAGTGAGGCGGAAGCAGAGGCGGAGCGAGCATTTCAACTTTATGGGTTCTAAATTTTAGAAGGATGATTTTAAGAGCTACTAACTGGGTTCCAAATTTAATGTTTATACATATTTAGTGAATTTCTTAACACAAATATACTATTTGAGTAAAAATTACTGAGTTCGGCCGAACCCGCATTTAAGCTTTTACCTCGCCCCTGGGCGGAAGTTGCCACTTAACCCTGGTAGATAATAGTTATAGTTGATGCAGATAAATTCTCCGAAGTACTAAAGATTCTACGCCATGGCATTCCCTGAAGTTGAAAGCTCGGAAATTGTAAAGAACATGAATCCCAAATTAGAATGAATATTATGGATCAAAACGAGATATAGATATTATGTGTTCCCGATATTTGTATCCACACCTAGGGTGTGTTTGGTATGAAAAAAAAAATTTTCCGGAAAATGTTTTCAGATTTTTCCATGTTTGATTGTCTTAAATGTTTTGGAAAATATTTTCCTTATGAACTCATTTTTCTCCAATTGGAGGAAAATATTTTCCTTATAAAGAGAAGGGAAAATATTTTTCAAAACTCCTTCTCAACCTTCCCCACCTTCACCAACCCATCCCACAGTCCACACCCACCCAACCCCACAGCCCATACCCACCCAACCCCACCCCTCACCTACCCACCCCACCCCCTCTCTCCAAAAAGGTCTATTTTTTTTTATTTTTTTTGTATTTCAGTTTTTTTTCCGTCACCACCTACCCTGCTACCCCCTCCCCCTGCTAAATTCTTTTTTTTTTTTTTTTCGTAATTTCAATTTTCTATTTTTTCATTTTTCTGCACCATCCCCCCCCCCCCCCACCCGCACAAAAAAAAGTTTTTTTACTTTTTTTTTTTTTGTAATTTTCAAATTTCTGTTTTTTAATTTTTTTGCACCACCCATCCCCCCATCCCGCCAAACCCCACCCCCACTACCCCTCAACCCCGCACAAAAACTTTTTTTTTTTTACTTTTTTTGTGTAATTTTTAAATTTCTGTTTTTTCGTTTTTTTGCACCACCCACCCCCACCCCACACCATTGCCCCCGAACCCCGAACTAAAAAAAATTTTTTTTGTAATTTCAAATTTCTGTTTTTTTGTTTTTCTGCCCCTCCGCCCCCCTCCGAATTTTTAAAAAAAAAATATATTTTCAGTTTTAGTTTTTTCATCTTTCGGTTTACATGTTCGAAATTTTACAAGTTTCAAAGTTATGAGTTCGGAAGTTTATGTGTTTGGAAGTTTACGGGTTTAGAAATTATAAAATTTACGGGTTCGAAAGTTCGCAGTTTCGAAAGTTTAGCGGTTCGGAAGTTTATGAAATTTGTGGGTTCGGAAGGTTGTTTGTTCGAAAGTTTATGGCTTCATATTTATTGTATCTAAATTATTTACGAATACTCTTGAGAAGTTATTTTCCTTAATTTGCGTACCAAACACCGAAAAATGAATAAGATTACTACTTGTTTTCCAAGAAAACATTTTCTTGGAAAACATTTTAAACATTTTCCCGTTATACCAAACACAGCCCTAGTCTTACCCCAAAAGAAGTAAAAAGCATGCGGGCGCACACACAATGAGTTTGAATTTTGTAACCTCCAGCGACTAATATTTCTTTTTTAACCCCTTTTTAGGAGCTCCTCATTTTTCTCCTTGGTGCTCAAACCCACAACTTCTGAATTCGAACTTAAATCATTTCTTAACCGCTGCTATTTGGTTGGACATTTCCAAAGGGTTGAGATCCGGTCCAGTAAAATTTCCTCCAGTAAAGTTCAATAGGGCATTAACTTTTATTTTCCTCTTGGAGAATCCAGACTAGGCCCCCTTTTCTCCTTACCATTCCAGCGAGTTCTGCATTTTTTTCTTCTAATTTCGAGATGTTCTGTAATGGATTAACAATTATGAATAATTCAATTCGTGTATTATATGTAATTCAATTCTAAATTGGAACTAAATCATATTACTAGCGAATAAATAGTGTTCTTAGGAAAGGACAATGTATACGGTTAAAACCGGGCCCTCCCGATTTTACTGATTGACCGAGACCAAGGGGATGGATCGAGGATCAACCCCGTAGCATATCAGATCGAGACACAAGGATAAGGTACCGAGTTCGGATTCGAGGTACATAGCAAGATCGAAACCGATAATGATCGAGGTTGAATGGGACAAGACATCGAGCAAGACCGAAGACAGCATAATAACGGAAAGGTGAGATATCCGTGACTGGTCGAAGATCATGGCGAAAATCTCGAAACAGATCATATCAAGGGTGGTTGTTTAGCTAATCATGGGATTTACTTTTGTAATTAGAATTGTGCAATAGATAGGATTCCTCTACTATATAAAGAGGGCTCTAATCATTTTGTAACCACCTTACATTCACCCATATCAAAGAAATACAATATTCTTTCTCTCATTCTCTTGTTCATTAGTTTATCCCATAACTTTACTCTCACTAGCTCAGTTCGAGGGCGACCTAGCTCGAGGGTTGAATTGCGTTTTGATACTGGTTTGCATTACTTTGTTGTTTATTTCTACTATTAATCATCGTATTTATCAACTGGTGCTAGGTGAAATTACATATCCTTAAAATCACTTATAAGTTTAATTGTTATCCGATTTTTAGGGTAAACAGTTTGGCGCCCACCGTGGGGCTAAGGATAATAGTGATTGCCTGGTACAATTTTCATAACACATACTATTTTACATTTGTTCTTTGAAGTGTCTTTGATTCCAGGATCAACATGTCAAACTCTCAAGTAGCACCCCCACACACAAACGATGGCCTTGGCCTCCATGGCGAGAACGATAACATAGCCGCCCCAAGGAACGAAGTACCTCCAATCAACCCCGGTGGAGCTCCGGCCGTTGATCCGATCGACGTCAGTTCTCACATTTCCATTAATGGAAATTTGGGCGCGATCCTGAAAATAGCATCCACAGGGATGCTCGAACAACCGATCAGAACGCATAGGGCGGTGAAGAAGATGGTATTAAATGATATTCAAAATGTTGCAGACCCAACAAGCTGCAATCGCACAACTCCAAAATCAGAATCGTGCACCTAGCAGGATCGAGATCGAGTCATTAGCAAAAATGGTTTCAATAGGGATGTCAGGACCGAAGAAGCAACTCGATTATCGGAATATAACTTCAATGTGGATGCTTCCGCCATAGTATCAGCCATTGGACGTATCAAAGATACCAGATGGCCTCGACCTATTGCAGACCGATCCAACCCAAAGAAATCCAAACCAAATATGCAAGTACCAAAATACCCATGGCCATAAAATAGAAGATTGCAGGCAACTAAGGGAGGAAGTAGCCCGATTGTTCGACGAGGGTCACCTTCGAGAATTCTTAAGTGATCGGACCAAGAGCCACTTCAAAAATAGGGATTCGAACAGACAGAACGAGCAGGAAGAGCCACAACACGTGATTCACATGATCGTTGGAGGGGTCGATATTCCTCAAGTACCATTATTTAAACGCACCAAGGTGACGATCACAAGGGAAAAATGTACGCGAGACTACTTACCAAAAGAGACCTTGTCTTTCAACGACGAGGATGCGGAAGACATCGAACAACCTCATAATGACGCAGTGGTAATATCTGTCCTTATGAATAAAATTCTAGTTAAATGTGTTTTGATTGATCTAGGTAGCTCGGCCAACATTATTCAATCGAGGGTCGTGGAGCAACTCGGCCTACAAGATCAAATTGTGCCCGCATCCCGAGTACTTAACGGTTTCAACATGGCGAGCGAAACCACCAAAAGGGAGATGTTTTTGCCAGTGAACGTGGCCGGGACCATCCAAGAAATAAAATTTCATGTGATCGAGGGCAACATGAGATACAACGCCCTGCTTGGAAGGCCTTGGATCCATAATATGAGGGTGGTACCCTCGACCTTTCATTAAGTTCTGAAGTTCCCGACATTTGAAGGAGTCAAAACAGTGTACGGGGAACAGCATGCCACCAAAGAGATGTTTGCAATTGACGAGGTAGTACCGGTGTCAGCACTTTCTTCGGCAAAGGGATCATACTCGAAGTGAAAGCAAGAGGCTAAATAACAACCACAAACGCCAGTCTCGACCCAACCGGAGAAGCAAGAGATCGATAAGGACGACGACTATGGGGTACCTCGATCATTCGTAGTTCCCGATGACTCTGATGCCACCAAATCAACGGTCGAAGAGCTGGAACAAATCACATTGACCGAACACCAACCAGAACGAAAGGTATACATGGGCACATGGCTAACCCCCGATCTCAGGAAAAAACTTATTCATTATCTTACAGCTAACATGAATTATTTTGCTTGGTCCCATCTCGACATGACAGCTAACATGTGCGTAGATTATAAGGACTTGAACAAGGCCTGTCCTAAGGATTCTTTTCCTTTGCCGAATATCGATCGTATAATTGATGCCACGGCCGACCACGAGATTCTCAGCTTTCTCGATG